CATCATATATATATATATGAGCGTTTGAAATTGATATCTTGAAATTGTTAATTATTTTAAGCAATTTGCTCATATATTCGAACACATTGTTAATTTTTTATGAAGTAAATTAGATGCTCCATATATATATGAATTGCTGATAATACTCCTATTTACGTGCTTTTTGTGCTCCATTATAGCTGAGACTTGCTACTTGGGCAATTTGCATCATACACTTCACAGAGCTTGTTGATATTAGGCAGAGAAGCACATCTAAAGATTTATTAATGTCAACTTTAGATATATGATTTTTTGTGCTTGGTGTTGAGAGTAGATTGTGGGACTAATTGGGCGATCTTTTCGTCGCTTCGTCCTAGATTGATTCCCCTCTATGGAAGGAGGCCGCCTAAACTCCTCTCCGGGATGATTATTGTCGTGCTCTTCGCAAAGTTTGTTATTGTGAGGTAGAGAACCATCTTTGGATTTTCATCCAATCCAAACTATGAGACTTATGCTCGTGGTGAAGAAAGTTCCCTAATTGGCCCTTATTACTGATTGGGCGTCTATGGCATCATTGTCAATCTTTTTTTATGTTTTTAACTTGTCAGAAGATTGAGGATGATCTGTGAAGTGCAGGCATGGTGAGGTGTGATGCGGGGGAAAATGCCACTCGGTAGGCAGAAAGAGGGTAGGTTGGGTTGGACGATGGTAAAAATCCTTCGGCAGACGAAGAGAGAGCCGATCAATGATGCAATCGGCCGGGGAGAAAAATCCTAAGTGGCACATGGAGAGAGGGCCGACCTGTGAGGCAGCGAGTTGGTGGGAAAAATCCACTCAAGAGAGGGAGGCCTGCTGGAGACTTTCACTGCTTTAGCAACCTTCACGGTTCGTGCCTTCGCACTAGGCTTCTAGAATGCAACCTTAGTAGATGGTGCATCATAAGACATAGTAAATCTCCCATATGCTACTTACCTGGGAGAAAAACCCTAGGCCCAGTCTCCATTAGATTTATCAGGAAAAGTGAGAAATTTAATGTGTTGTTAATAGATTCTTCTATATCTACAGAAAAAGAGATGAAATTTTTTGGAGATTATCGACGACAAGGAATAAATGAAGTGAATCTGTTGCTGTGCAAGTTCTCCTTGTGTGCTCTTTACTAAGAGTCTCTCTGAAAAGTTTCTCGTCGGTGTTGCTCATCTTCTTGTTGATGATACGATCAATGGTCACTGCACCTCTTAGAATGTTAAATATAAATCTATCCAAACATGCAGTTTCGCGACTGTCTTAGAATGTTAAATATAAATCTATCCAAACATGCGGTTTAGTGACTTAAGGGAGAGAAATAAGAAGAGAGAGTTCTTTTTTTTAGGACACGATCTTTATTTACCAAACTTTTTAGGATATCAAATTTAAATCTGCCCAGTCATGCCCAGGCTCATTTTACGGTATATATACATATAT